GTGGGAGCCCAGAGAGGTTCCTCCATTTTTAAGTTGGCATCAGAGACCTGCTCCTTGGTACAGCTTTTCTCAGTCTCAGAAAAAGGCTGGGATGAGTGGGATGCTCACGAGCCACGAGACCTTTTGTCTTACCTGGTAAAAGAAAGGTCTTTTGAGTGCTTGCAGGATTATAGATTCTAGCTCAACAGGGACACTGGTCTGCAGGGGCTAGTAAAGCTTGCAGTATATAAAAAGGCTCCTGTGTGGGCAGCCACAGATGAAATGTGAAGGAAGATACCCAGCAGCCCCAAACCCAAAGCACCAGGAGGGCTGGGCTGCAGCAGGACCCGGGCTGTGTTATGCCAAGTATATGTGCAGACACTGGAAAGCTGGAATCAAGCCCTGGCCCCAAACTAGGAAGCCCAGGGATGAATTCTACTTTCCCACATCCTGTAATATGGTCTTGGCCACAAATTACTGGCTGTAATAGGAACAGAAGCCAGTCAGTGCTCTGTCTATTGTCCCCTTAGCTGGTTTATTTTGTTGGAGGTTTTATTTGTGGCAGGCTTCACTTGAGACGTTTCCACAGTATTTGGTATATGAGGTTTTATAGATGGGATTTTTGGGCAGGCACCTGCTTTTTAGGTTTTAAAAGAGCCTTGGAGACTCTTGGGTGGATCTATGGTGCAAGGATTTAAAGCATGTGTGACAGCAGAGGCCTGTGTACTTAGAGCAGTTGATGGGTACAAGCACACACGGAGTTTCTGAGTCCTGAGTGGCACTGAGGTACAGCTCAACTGACCCCGAGATTAGGAGGAGACTATTTATACATATGCAGTGGAAAGGAATAGATTGTACTGTATGTAACAGCTCTGTGAAATATTTGAGATATAAATATAGTCATTCCATTGGATCCTTCCTCCAAAATGGCAGCACCCTGATGAAAGCTGTGTTCATGTCTGCAGATCAAAGTCATATATAGAAAGGTTAGACCAAGGTTGCATTTGGAGAGAGAGTTCTTATGTGGACACTTTCAAAAAGGGCAAATTAGGTGGAGGCTTCTTCTCTTTAGTTAGTGTTCAGAAATACCTGGAGGGAAGTATATTGAGTACATTCAATGGATTGAGACAAAAGGATAACACCAAAAGCATCTCTCTCTTTTTTACAAATGGGCCTGGGCTGGCTGAAAGAGTCCATTGGTAATGGAAAAGACCTCACTTAAATGTCTCTTAGTGTTGCCACGTCTCTGGCTAGCTGATACATGTTCTCTCAAATGCAGACACAGCCTTGAGTGATGGGCCAAGTTATTTAAAGATGCTGGTAGGTAGGAAAGGACCCTATGGCAGTTGGTGCTCTTAAACTGGCCCTTTGTTGCAAAGACCTCCTCAGGTGAGGATTAGCTTCTGATTCATCTTTTTTCCTTACAGTACTACAGTGTTTGTGCAAGAAACTCTTACACCATGGCGTGAGCTCTGCCAAGTATCCTCCAATGAATGGCCCTTCACAGGTTTTTACTTTTATTAAAACCCAAATCCACTTTTGATTATTTTTTTTTTTTCCCCATGGGATCCCACCTTTCTTGGGAAGGTATTTAGCTGAGAACAGGAGTGATGGGTGGGCAGCCGCACCTGTGTCTTGCCGGGCCATGGCCACCCTCTAGATGGCATTGGTCACACGCACACCCCTCCACAGCCCATGGATGCAGCGACCCAAGCGTGGCCTTCCAGATTCTGAAGTGGCTGGCAGGAGGTGGGAAAGAGAGTTTTGTGGCCTACATGTTTTGAAAGGTGAAAGGCAAGCTGAGTTTCAGCTCTTAACAGGTATAATATGGATAAAGTGTAAGGCTTTGGGACCTCTCAGCCCTTCTCCAAAAAGAAAATGCAAACCCAGTAAAGCACATCAGGTGATGTGGCTCTGTTAGAGTAGAAACCAAGCTTTTCAAGCACCTGTGTTTTACTCCTGCAGTGTGTGTGCAACATGAGTTGGACAGATGGACAGATGTCATCTGTGTGCTCTTCTTTATGCTAAGCAGAGCAAGGAGTCCCAGGGTGACAGCACAGAACTATTGAGTCCTGCTACAAATTTGAGTATATTTTCAAAGTGTTCTTCATACCTAGTTGTAAGGAGATGATGGGTCCCTCATGAACTTGAGTCCTAAATTACCCAAGAGGCTTTGAACATCTTGGTATGTAATTGGTCCAATATTAAGGCAACTGAATAGGTGCACTTTCATAATATCAGTAGGATCCTTGACTTCTGCTCTTGTCAGAGAGTAGGACCATGGTGTATTTATACAACACCAGTATAAACAGCATTCCAAACCCCATAAAAGTCAAGAGGCATCCTTGTTTCACTGAGTCCTTTGGTGAGAGTGTGCTTCAATCAGTGTCCAGATCAGAACACACCTGAATTTTCAGATGTTCTAAGTGCAACTTTCATTTTATTGGATTTCTGAACCCACCTTCCCTGTACATCTAACCAATGAAACACAGAAAGTCCTAAAAAAGACAGGCCAGTCACCAGAAGATGAGCACCCCCTCTTCAAAGTACAAATTTTTGAGATGGACAAAAGGAAGCCAGTAGATGACAGCCAGGTGAAAGGTGGGATTTTCTTTATAAATCAAATTGTTATTAATACAATCTAAAGTACCCAAAGTTATAACTCACTAACTTTTCCTGTCATTTATTGCTTATTTCTGAATTATTATCCATGTGTCTAACTCTTGGTTTTGGAGGAGAGGAAGATAATTTTATTTTTAACTGCAGATAAATGCTTGTGGTATAAGTAAAGAATTTGATTGTTCTTGCCTCCCCCATGGGTACACGACTCTGCCAGCTACTGTGCTATTGTCTAGTCTGTATAGCACTCCCTGAAAAATCCCCTGGGATTTGTCTTCACCTTGAACTGTGCTGGCCTTTCCTTCATGCCTTTGTGTGTCAGAATGTCTCACATTTTCATTGCCTATTTCTAGATTCTTTCCAGGTTTGAAACATGATTTGAAACACGGGGTTGAAACATAATGTTTTGGGCAGGATAAACTGTTACTAAGAATAGAAGCTTCGCTGCTTAATACAGTGATGAATTGAACTAGACTGCTGGGCAGCAAAGAATCAAGCAAAGAGAGATGCCAGCAGCTTCAGTAGCTCACCAGCTCAAATTACTGCTATCAGTTAATATCCAGATGGATCAATTTGGCCCCCAGGCCAAAATTATTCTTTGTATAATCCAGATGAAGGGTAGGTAGTTGTGCCTTGGATGAATCTCACACCTCAATGCAGACTGCTCTGCAGCTGGCAAGGTCTGTCTGTTTGTCTTGCATGTTGGCCTTGTCTCTGTCAAACCTCATGGCTGCATCCTGCTCATTTTTAATGAGGAGGGTAGAGAAGGCTTAGGTCACCATTGAGGATGTATATTATGGTCACCTGAGAATCCTGGAGAGATTTGGAGGAGAGGGAAGGATTGCTGTTGTGGCAATCATTGTTATCTCACATGGGGAAAGCAGGGCGGGAGTGCACCTGCTAGAGCTACTTGGGATGTGAAACCCTATTTTCAGAGACCAGACCATGTGTCTGTGGTCAGGGGTGCTGGGCAGTGAGACACTTGGCTCCAGAACAGCACCTGGTACCACTGAAGGTCTGCAGAGAAGGGGGGAATGGCACCCCTAGCCTGTGGAGAGTGGCTCTGCCCTCCCTTGCCCGCCTGGGTGATGCAGGATGACTCCTGAGGTGTAGGACAGAGATATTGGCTGAGTTCAGATAACTGCAAGAGCACCTGTCCTGTCCCACAAGAGAACCACCTTTGGTGCTGAATCTCCATTTCTCTTTAGAAAAGTTCACCCCTTCATGGTATTGGCTTGACTTGTGTCTGAATTTTTTTTCCAATACCCAACTTTCAGGGGATGAGAAGGGGTAAAGGCAGAGTTAATCACCAAACCAACTCTTACCCCCATCTAGCTACTTTTTGCTTTTAAGGAAATGAAGTCATATTTATGTGCAGAGGTAATCCAGAAATGTGAGCTCTTGCCAAGACATTTATTTACACAAAGCTTAAGGGAGGTGATATTTGTCTGTGCTCAAAGCTTGGGCAGCTACCTTACATTAGAAAGGTGGCCAATGTTTCAGTGCTGATACCATCAAGAAAAAAGCTCATCACCAGCAAAACCAATATTCCTTGTCACCCTGCTGTGCCTGGGAGCACGCAGGGCAGTCTGTACTCACCCAGACTTGTTGCTGCAAGTAATGCTATGAATTGTTGTCCAGCTGAGATGGAAAAGTATTTAAAAACACCTTTTGAACTGTTTCCCTTCCATTCTGGCTTTTTTTTTTTGTATGCCTATTTTTGTTTAAAAGGGAAAAAAAGAGAAATCAAAACAAAGAGAAAGTACTGTTGCACCGGAAGCATGAGCAGGACTGTTGACTTTCTGCCTGAGCCCTGTATTTTATAACCATGAGAAATTGTTCCTTTTAACCATTGCTTGCCTTGACGTATGGGAGCAATGAAATAGAAAATGTGTTGTAGTGCCTAAACAGACATTTGACATATTTCAGACACTTTTGGGAACTTGCTACAAATGTTTTGCTTTCTTTGGGTTATATTTTTTTTTTCTTTTAATAGGTAAATAACAGGAAAATGGGATCTACACAATTATGGTTGTTCTTACTGCTTTCTTAGTATTTTATCACTGCTGTAATCAGGGCCTGGAAAACTGATGTGTTTTAACAGCATCTTTCTTGATCTTTATTAGCTGTTTTATTTGCCAGGTACTTCATTTGTTCAAGTACTTTACAACTGAACTTAAAAAATTATTGATGTCCTCCTTGTGTTGCCACTGGGAGAGAGAGTTATATAATCAAAGACCGAGGGGTTAAGTTTTATAGGGTGCCACTGGCAAGTGAAAAAATCACTAAGAATTTTGTTTCATCAGTCCCATCAATTTTAGCGGAATCCCTCATATCCTTTAGAGAAGCTGCTGGAATTAAGGAATTCTTCAAAATGAGAAGAAATTTGTGGTAGGCCTTACCTTACCTACTGCCTTTGTTCTTAGACAGCATCCTATGGGCTCAAGCAGTCAATAAAGACCCAAGACCTTTACCTGGTCAAGAAAAAAAAACAAAAAAAGCCTAAGATTTGGAACTGAAGTGAGGAAAAACTGTGACTGAAGTTCCCTCTTGGAACTTGAAAGACAAATTACACAAGAACTCTGAGGCCAAAAAATAAACTATATTCCCTTGCTGACCTCAGCTTCTCAAAGTCATCTCTCAGCATAAACAACTTCAGGAAAAGCCACTTGCCCAATAGGAGTCTATGCTCACTAAATCAGCATCTGCCCTCGTGCCCATTGCTTCCTTTTGGGTAAATTGAGGAACAAAACACTTTGGAAAAGGCTCTTTGCTGGAAGCTGAGGCTGCCTGGAAAAGGCAATGGAAGTTCATTCTCCATGCCTGAGATGTGCAAATGACTCTCTACTTCATAAATGTAGCACATTTATTTCCAGCTCTTCCTTGTGTCAGGCTCGTTTTCCTAGCTCATCCACATGACCCCATATCTGCAGATTCTGTAAAGGCAAAAACTATCATTTAGGAAGTGGGGTTTGCTTCTTTAAAGAAAGTAAGAGTTGATTTCATAACTTTAGTGTCACCCACCATTTAGTTTGTTGGGCATATGAAGATAGCTGGGAAAACAGTGAGGTAGGTGGGCAAAAGATGGCATGAGAATGCTATTGCCAAAATATATAGTTACATTTTCTCAGAATTTTCTGTATTTTTCCTCTCCATTCACCCTAAAGGCTGAAAAAATAAATGTTTTGTATTTTTTTTCAAAATATGCAGTGTTTAATTGACTGTTATTCTGATAAAAATGTCAACTATGTACTGTAGCATTTAATGAGAAAAGAATGGCAAAGAAATCAGGGAATGTTCAGCAGAATTTTTCAGCCCAGAAGAAAACTTTAATAAGAAGGAAAAATTGTTTCTCATCAGAATAGGAAGCAAAAGTTGAAATTTTGAGCCATATAGTAGAAAAATATTCTGAAGAGGTTTTCAAATAAGAAATAACATAAAATGTCAGCACTGCCTACCAAAATAAAGTTGTCCAATGTGTCAAAGTAACACTTTTAATTTTGAATTTACATTTTGAAATTCACTCACTCCCTATTGAGATGCTGACTTTTTACTCTAAAGAGCTCTCAACTGAAAAATCTAATAAAAATTTATATTCTTCCTTTAGAAAAATTTAGTTCAGCCTGATCTTTGCTCTCTGAGGAAACATGTTTTATTCTGAAACCTTCAACTAGTGTTAGGTAGGATGCAGTAAACTACATTTTTAGCTTGCTTTAGTGTTTGTATAAATGGGGTTTTCTTCCTTCCTTACAGAATTCTAATTTCCTTAATATTTGGAAATTATCTTCTTTCCAAAGTTACACAGCATGTGACAAAGGAGTTTTTATTCAGGTGTTCTTGTGAAACTTTTGCTATTTTTCTTTCATTTGTCACAAACTAAATTAAGCTTCATTATAAGCTAAATGTCTATGCTTTTCTGCTCTTAAAGCAAGCTGTTATATTTTTGAAAAAGGAAAAAGGGAACAGAATCTCCAGATGATAAATACAAGTAGTGCCTAGTGGAAAAAGTCAAGGCGGGGGGTGGGGAAGAGGAAATAGCTGTGAAAACACTTTTTGAACAAATATCTGTGCTTTAACTTTGTGTTGCAAGGTTGCCTGGATACACTGGAAGAACAGGCATCCTTCTATATATATATTAGATAGTTTAATGTTTACTGCTGAAACTTGGAATGTAGCTCCAAGCACTATTTACAAATGTTTGGGATGAAGTAGTTCCAGAAAACCAAACAAAGAGAGGAGGGAGGGAAATTAACCCAAACTTGCTGTTTCTGTTTTTATCATCATGTTGCTATGTATAACCTAAAATAGCAGGTAGTGGCTTATGTAACAGAGCTGGAGGAAAGGGAAAGTTATAGGAGCAGTTGTGGGGCTGGACTAGGGCAAGGAAGGGTCCATGGCAGGTGAACCTGAGGGATGTTCTCAGAGGAGAGAGCATTCAGGTGCTGTAAGGGAGAGAGGGATTTGGGGAGGAAGACTCCTGGTCTGGGTTTGTGATGGGTTTATGGAAGTACACACTGCCCTGGACTGGGGCTGAGAAGCCTCCTGTCTGCTCCTGCTTGGCCATTCCCTCTATCCCAAGCAGCAGGGATGTGACAATCCTGTTTGTCGCATGTTACCTGCTCTCCCCTTGTGCTCCTTTCAGGGATGGACTGTGTGGGCCATGTTAGGGTTGAGGTATGTGCAGGTGATGTGTGTTTGTATAATCCTCTGTGCTTAGGGCTGTGCAAGCTGCTGAAAGAGTTATGTTTTGGATCAGCAAGCGGGAGGTTTGTCAGCCTTTAGCTCCTGGGAGGTTTTTCTCTGTTTCTGGTTCCAGAGACTGCTCATGCTCTGCAGTGTAAAAAGGATACCCCAATTGATTCAGAAAGCCCATTATACAATGTCTTGAAGGCAGAAGGGAATAGTCCTGCAATTTAGATCTAGGGCACTGTACTTTGGTCTTTTTTTTTTCTTTCATTTTCTTTTATAGATGCTTTGAATCTCTTTAGTTATGTTCTATTGTGATTATATCTAACTGTAGAGTAGGGAGGCATTTCTGAGATGAGAAACTCTTTGATCTTGGCATCACTTAATGTTTCATTTAATCTGATTTTATTGAGGGATCTTCCTTGATCTGAAAAGGAACATGTTCTTCCATCTAGCTCTTAAATTCACATTCAAATTAAGATTCTGTGAAATACACTTAAAAAAAACCAAACCCATACTCCAGGGTAATGTGGGAGTGTTATAAAGGGTTTGTGCTGTATGTCACAGCCATGTGTGATTTCCCAGTGGACAGAACTGTGAAGCAGAGTAATTCCTCATCCTCTGAAGCCACAGATCCCTACCACCTCACCCATGATGAGTCAACATGTGCCTTCTTCCTTTAGTGGTTGATGACATGTGATGAAATATTCTAATTCTGCCTGGATGGGGCAATGATGCATCTTCACTGACTACCTCATTGTAGTTTTTTGTAAACCTTTGGGAAATGCTATTTCAGGAGCCCCTAACAGCCAGACTTTAAAGTTTCTTTGCAAGACAAACTCAGTCATCACATTTCATGATCATATTTTCATTCTGCCAGTCATTTCTGTGATGCTGGGGCATATCTTGTAACTCTCTGCCTTGAAGAGTTAGCAAGTGGTGTCAAACACTTTCAGTGCAGAGACAGCTCATTTCACCTGTCCCTGCTTGGCTGTGAGACACATTGAGATCTGAATGTTATCCTCATAATGAGGCCTACTTGGTGCCGGGAGAAATTCAGAGTGAATTTGTGCATAGGCCATGAGTTTCAGTTGGATTCAGTCCCCTTGTGCTTGCTGGAGAGGAGTTTGCTTTTGGTTTAGTTACAAGGCCTGCTCATGGCTTAAGGGGTTGCTCACTGCCAGCCTGTGGAATAAAACCCATTAAAGTCTGACACAGACCCTCAGACTGATCCTGGATCATGCAGCTTCCAACACTGCCTCCAATTCTCTGCCTGTTTTGTGTGTAAAATGAAAGGCTTCATTTTCCAGACTCTCAAAAATGTTTTTCATCAGTCCTTAGGCTAGAAAAATTGGTAACCACTGGAAAAAAATATTTGAATTGTTAATCTCTGATGGGAAAGGACATGCTATAAAAAGTGGCTCTTATCAGTGCTTTTTTCTGAGAGAGCAGAACATCTCTTGTTGGGTTTTATGTCTCGCCTACATCCCCCCAGCATATCTGTGCCTGCCCACGCTGCAGCCTCGTGGGGAGATGCTCAGGATGTCTGGTTACAGTGGCAGGGCTGTGCCCTCATTTACCCTGCACAGCTTTCTGCAGAGAGCTGTGGCCAAGGACCTGGAGGGCACCCAGAGCTCACAAGCCAGGCAGCTCTGCACAGCTGGTGCACACAGCATCACTCAGAGCTGAGGTGTGGTCACCTCTCAGCAGGGCACAGACCTGCTGGCAGACACCTGCAAGGCAGGTGAAATTACCCTGACAGAAATGTGCTTTTAATGGTAGCCCCTACAGTGCTGCAGGATATGGAAAATGGGATAGGATGGTTTTAGCAGATCAATCCCAAGTGTAGCTTTGAGCAGCTGCCATGGAGTGATGTCCTGCTGGGTTTCAGTTTTACATCTGGCATCTTCACCGACACTGCTCTGGTAATGAAATGGTTCTTTATATTTTCATTCCCATATGGATGTTTGTGGCATGTACTGTCCCAGCACTAAAAAAGACAATCAAATTTAAAAATATATCACAGAAAGCATTGAAAGGTGTTTATTCATTCGTTGGAACACTGTGGTTGGATTAATTTTCCCAAAAGTCAGTTTTTGGATGAAGGAATTTTGGACACTGGCAACACAGGTTTAAAGGGCTGCAAGCAAGAAAAGAATGAGCTGGTAGGAGGTAGAGCAAGTAGGCTCCTGTTCAATGCTTGGGGAATTACTGCAGTTATATTTTGCTCTCCAGATTAATTGTTTGCTCTGATCTGAACAGCTATTTACCCTTCACTGTATCAGCTGCAATGTTTGCCTGCCTCAAAGTTCATATCACCTTATGAGCAAGTTCACCTAAAGGAAACCTCAGCCATAGCCAAGTCAGTACAAAAGGGAAGAAAAGGGGGGAAAGAATGAAGAGAACAGAAAAGGAATGTGTTTGGGGGAACTCAGGAAAGTGTTCTGTGTGTAACCCAGTGAATCTTAAACAATATTAACTTCTTAGCAACAATGATTCTGTTTTGTTTAACTAACAAAGGATATTGTAAGCAGATATCTGCATCTCAGGCAGATAAGGTTTGTGTTGGACAGTTCTTTTATTGGTCCAACATTTGGTAATTCACTCAAATTTAGCTATGGAACAAGAATTATGCATATTTGCTTCTGAGGCAGAGGTTAGACATAAGGCTCCCAGTAATTTTCCAGTTCCTTGCTAAATTTAAATCTTAATAGAATGGGGCCCAGCCTGTCATCTTTATGTTTTCATGCCAATCCCAATAGAGTAGGGGAGCAAAAGGGCAGAATTT